GAGACCGTTGCTGATTGAAGGGTTCAATTCGGTCTGATCCTGGCTACCCCGAAATTAGCAGAAATTTAGGGAACAGCGCGCTCGTGGCCCGGAGTTGGAGCATCTCTCACAATCGACATCGTTCCAGGAATACTCCCCGGTTGATTGCTGTGCCATTAAACCACGATCGAGTGGCTAATAACGTGTTTCAAGCGATGATCCACGGAATCTAAATCTATTGAAGTATAACTTTCGAAGCGTCGAGAGAGGAACGGAGGAAACTGTTTGCAGAAGCTGGCTGCTGTATAGAACCCACGAACGGAGTAGAAGTATTCAATTCAGACGTTAGATTGTTAATATTATCTATTAAATAACTACACATTCTACTTATTTCACTGAAAAAAATTAATCAACCCCAAAAAACGAAATAGTTACAATAACACGAGTGAAGATTTTAAAAGATAGCAGAACGTCTACTTGCTCAACCATTATATATTACACCTTAATTCAATCAAAAATCAAAATTCTTTCATTTCACTCAACGCAGTAATGACTGAATTCAACGAGGCGCCCGAAGTTTCGAGGGAAAGAACACTCGATGACTATTCGGATGAGTAATCGTTAATTTATACAAAGGTCCGAGACATTTGCGCTCTCCGGCCATCCCTCATCCCCCGGTGTAAGCTTCTCTAAGCTACTAGACACCCCAACACCGACCTCGTGGCTACGAATCCACTAAATCAGAAGCGCAGCGAAGCGTCTTCACCCCGGAATGGTCTCGGATCACCCCCGAATTCGGGTTTCGCCGTAGTTGCCACCTGACGGTGAGACAAAGTTCAAACTCCAGCGGAGGCTGTCTGCAAAGTGGGAACTCGCGAAAGGTCAGCGTCGCAACGTCTGCTCGTGGGCGACCGTACAGCCTCCGCCGCGGTGATTAATTCCTCCCTTCGAATCGTCTCGTTAATCTCCCGCGCGAGCGCCATTGGAAATCGCGCTCGAATCAGTGATTCAGAGACAGAAACCGCACATTTCCTCTGCGTTCCTGAAAATAGAATCCCTCTACCTACGGAAAACCTTTCGAAAACTTCTCTCTTTTAAAATAAATAACGATTAGATCCTTCGATACTATTAAACAGAATTTGAATATTCATCGCGAAATTATTACCAGTGAAGAATTTCGTTCGAGCTCGTTATTCTAAACAGAACAAGGGTCTAATTTCAGTATCAGAGAACAACGGTTATACCTGATCTAGCACAGCCGTAAATTGTTCCCGGAATCGCATAATTAACGCGTCAAAAAGCTCAAGATAGTTACTTGACACACCTACAATTAACGTTTATCGATTTGCGGGAAAAGATGAACGACGGGCATGGTCATCGCGTCTCCGCGATAAAAGTTATCGCGGTAATGGCATCGGGGAGCGTCTAACGAAGAGCGGTACCTAACGAAGGCGACACGGCGACTTGTAATGACAGTATTACGTGGCCGCGCGCGCGAAGCGAACGCTCGGCCCGGTCGATTGTCCGGCGACCGTTGTTTGCACACTAGAAACAGCGGCCAACGGAATGGAATATTTGCGCGCGAGCGGCTCGAAACGCGTTCCTCGCATGCGACAATGTTGCCGGCCCGCATTCTTTTCCTCTTAACAAATCTATAATTAAACGACACATCCACGCGCGCGCGCGCCGTTTAAAATCAACTTTTTCGCGATTCGTCGCGAAGCTCGCTCTCGCTCTCGCGTATGCGCACGCTCACGCAATTCGCTGCCAACCTGTTGCCGTGTCATCGACATTTTTTCACCATTTTTTTTACTTTCACCGAACGCGACATCGCGATGGAATTTCTACGTTGAATTCATCGAGAACGTCCGCGGCGTTCCGTTCGGATCCGTACGCGAAGATCGACCCGAGATCTCGTTCGTTCCCGTGTTAATTTATTGGAAAGCAGTTCAGGATTAATCGCACGGCTTTCGAGTGTATTTCCGCTGAATCTAAAAGCAACGTTTGGAATACGGTATTTTTCATTCCTACGTCGGCCGCGGGAGAGGGAACAGTGACGGAGGATGTGATTGATACTTCCTGCACGAGCGACGATTTGTAAGAGCGCAACGCTCGCGTCATTTTCGTGTCGAAAACGCGTCGAACAGCGGACGTTTGTCTCCGGCGCGGAGATCAAAGGACGGCCGGAGCGAGATTGATCTCGTTCTTTCGCGAGTATCCCGGGGGAAGACGCGAACCGGGATTATTTTCGGCGATGCTGGCGGATACACATTGAAAAATGATACTATGCAATTCGGAATAATTTCTGGGACGAATTAAACGATGTCTAGAGCGAAACTGTTTGCTCGAAATGTCTATTTCGTAACGCTTGAATCGTGAATTATGAATACTTCTTGTTGAAAGTAGTCGAATTAAACTATTTGGCATGATAATATAATCCTCCTATTTCTATTAAATACATAATCGAACGAATTGAACATTTCGATCTGACGTTCTCGTAGAATCATTGTCTCGATTCCTGGAAAATTCTGATTTTCGAGGTACATTGCTGCAATTGACTTGCACGCACGTTACAGATCATTTTGACAAACATTAAGCGGTCGAACCGCAACGCCTGGTGTCCCCGAATCAACCAGCAACTGCAAGATTTTTCTTCGAAACGATCGCTATTAATTTCGCGCGATTATCGCGCGCACGCGAGAACGTAGCCGCGGTTAATCGGCTGTAAACGCGTTCCTTAACACGCCGATTCCCGCGATTATCCCCTCGAGGATTAAATCCGTGACCCTCGTCAGATCGAAGGGTTCGGGTTGGCTTCATTAAATATTTATGGGGTCGTGATACCATATCGAAACGGCTCCGCCGCCCTCCGCCGCCCCTTCGCGCCGGAACAAGAACGGTCCCCGATTTCGTTCCGAACTTTCTTCAGTCCCCCGCGACGCATACAAATGCAAGCGTTGTTTGACTACAACATGATCAGTACAATCTAATGACTGCCCGTCACTAATACGAAAAAGGAATTCAGAGATAAAGAGTTCCAATTAAACGAGGATGAGCAATAGAAGAAAAACCTTCCATAGCGACTTGAAAGGAACAAACTCTAATTACTCTAGGATTTGATATAAACCTTAAAATTCTATCACAAATTCTATAAATATTCATCAATGCAGTACTAAATACTATTCGTTCATTCAAAAGACAACCGTCCGAGTGCCACGGGTATTTCCAAAAACCCGATCGAAGAACAAGCGCTGCGATCGCGCTTCTTTCGTTTCAGCTCGTACCGATCTTCTATTTTCACACAAGAGAATTGTAAATCTACGATCGTTCTACTTTTCCATTCCTACTCAGGCAATAAGAAGAATAATTACAAGCAAGACGAATAAATCCACTCCATTCGATTCCACGAGCCGATAAGCTGCCGCTTTTACACCGGAAAAACGCGATCGCGCTGCTTGCCGCTCGAGCGTTCAAGAAAACTCAACCAATCGTAACAACTCTCAACTGTAAAACACACATTCCTCTCGAACACCTTCGTCCACAACCAAATTTCCCAGCTTCGAAATCCCCGACAACAACCCCGAAGCGACATCCGAAATTTTCCTCGCGAACTTTGTCGGAACCGAGCCGATCTCGCAGGAAATCCCAGGGAATCGCGATCTCACGGTAAACAAGTCAGTTTTTTCCACGGGTTTTTTTCCACCGGTGTTCTTCCGTTTGCGTCGCGAACTCGCGACTCCGTGTAGTTGTTGTCGGTCGCGTGCGCCGGCCCTGATTCGAAGCGGCCGGGGCAAGGATGCCGGTTTCTGGCGGATTACGCAAGACTCGCGTCTGTTATCTGTTCCCAGGTAAAACGGGCCGACGGGGGTGCGTGTCCTTTCGCTACCGTCGCCGCTAACGAGCCGGTACGCGCGCGCGCGTATCCGTGGGCCACGTGGCGGGCCGCCGAACGGCGACGGGACCGTTTGACCTGCATTTCAGATTTTAATCCCGAGATAATGGCGGGGGTGCCTGGTCGCGCACCCGGACATTTGTCTTCGCGTTCCACCGGGCTCCTGCGAGATAACCGTTCCGCCGGGAACCACGGGAGATCCCACACGACGACGGCTTGTCTCGCTACCGGGGACGCTCGCCGGATAATTGTTTCTGTGTCGCGACGCTCCCTGGCAGCCACTCGCCGTCCGGGAAAGCGTAACGAGGCAGACACCTGAGATTTCTTGACCCCGACTGTCGCGGGTCTTCCGATTCTTCGTTTAGCGAGAACTAGGTCTTGGAGGTTTCTATTATTTACGCGTGAAGATTCGGCATGATGGATGATTAGAAAGAAGTACTGGGAATGTTAGGAGTCTGAGGTTTCCACGATTTCGGGCCTTAACACTTAGGCAACCGGCTAAAAAGAACTGTAACTACAACCTCTCCCATTCTCTTCAATTGAACTCGTACAATTGATTCGGTTAAAAACTTTGTTTTATAAAAACAAGAACCATATTTGATGAGTTGCGAATAATCCGACTTCAAGACTTACTAAACAACAGCAACAAAAAGTAAACAGAATGAAAGGCAATACGTTGCTAAGTGAAAAGTGGGAGATCTCTCCTTTCGGTTGGCTAAGTGGTAACACGTTGATTGCCACAGAAAACTTCAGAGTTTTATGTAAAGCTTATTCTTTTGTAACAAAGGTACTGTTACTTATTATTTGATATCGCAATGCTTACGTTACACTATCTAGTAACTTACGCTATGAAATATTTCCATTCGACATTAGTTATCTGACAAATTATAACTATTGTCGAGTAATTTGGAAGCTCCGGTCATCGGTGACCGATCTCAGGATTCAATCCTTAGATCAATTTGATCTTTTGATAGGCTAATTGTATAGAGTGAATTCAATTCAGTGTTATTCCTAATGAACTGATCTTTGATATCTGATCGTAATGAAGAAATTAGCGAGGTAACTATAGTTAGGACACTAAAAATGTCTTACTCAAAGGACAATTAGGAACCATGACACTCTGATTTACCTGCGCTGCGGCTATAAGAATTTCCCGACACTCCTGCGCTCGAAAGCTCACTATATCGATCGTGTCATCAAACGTGCGTATATACCTGACTCCGCCATGACGCGTCCTTGGGCAGACGTTCCCTGCGCGGCAAGGATCTCGGAGAGGCTCCCGCCTCGCGGCCACGGAGGAACGATCACTCGCGCGCGATCGCGCGTGAAACGCGATTTTCCTCGCGCTGGCCATCGACTGATTAACAGTGAGGCCGAGTGGCTGGCAGCGCTCGGATCGCCTCAAAGAGAGGGACGGTGGAACAAGGAAGATGGCGGAGAGGGACAGAGGTAAAGGAAATTGCGCGCAAGAGGTTCGAGCGTTCTTATCGCGGCGCATTGTCAGCCGCGAAAAACCGGCGTCGCCGCAGACTGTGCAAACACTCCGCCAATTACGCATATACACCTAACGATACACGTCTATCGACACGTGACGTCGTAACGGAGTCGCCAGCTGAGCGACTCTTCGAAGCCTATGATTTTTTTCGTAACTCTGCGAGATAGAACTGTTCCGTTGCGGACCATTTATTGGGAGACAAGGAATTCAATGGTTCTCCTGTGTCTATACTTGTTCGATTGGTGATAGATAGTAGAAGAATGATATTTAATTTTGAATTGAATTGAATATGGTTACGGTGGTATTTATTACTTATTAAAGGCTAGGTTCGCGGGGACCGGAGTTAATAAGATGGCAAGTCGAAATCGTTGATCTATAAAAGCAGCCTGGATGCTCGAGAAACTTTGAACTGCGAGAAATCGGGACTGGTTTTAGAAAGTTTAGGAGATCGTTGGTAGTCCGGCTCGATCGCGATTTCACTTTTTTGGGGATTGTGGCGAATTTCAGATGATTTTCTCCGTGCTTTTGGAAGAACTGGTTATTTCGCGCGTGACGGCTGGCGGATCTTTTGGGGCTTGCCTGATGAATCGGAAACTAGGTGAGAGGGTTTTGAAGATTTTCAGTCAGTATCGTGTTACAATGATGATTTTAAATTTTGTAGCTTGTACCTTTGCTCCGATTTTTTCTGTGCGCGCGAAAGAATATTCCGAACGAGATTATTCCGAGATCGGCGATTTATTCAAAGATTTCTGCTACGAGAAAAGGCGAATATAGAAAGCGTTTACATGGTCCGCTGCTCCGATAGAAAATTCTGAATGCTTCCTAACGCTTTCCAGCTGAATATAACACTCGATTTGCACCGCAGGTTGCACTTTGCAACACCTTCCATAAATATGCATCTGGCTCACTTACGTGTAACGAGTACAACCAACAGAAAATTCTCCGTACCTGTGTTCCCGTGTTATCCACGTGGATCAACGTCGCCGACAAAATATTCCGAGCGGCGATCAACGATCGACAAGTTAGTCCGTGGGTGACGGTCGACACTCATTGCTGCGGAATGCCTTGAATATTCGACACAATCGAAGCGTCGATCATAAACGTGGGAAAGTTACCTCTCCTCGCTCGACCTCGGCTTCATCGATTCCAACGCAAACCTCATCAAACTCGCCTCTCCGATTCTTCAACGTAAAGAATCCCATATACAAAATCGAACGGAGTAAACGTGATACTCATCAACGAATAGATCAAATTCCTTACTGTCCAAAGTTCCCGCGATATCGTCGCACATTCAAGCCTCCAACGTATAAAATCAAACTTAATCAAACAGAGTACCTCAATCTTGCTTCCACGAACTGACACAACAGTCTTCACAAGTTCCAACGTTACCGAGGTCTCCTATCAACAATATCAAACGCCCACCACGACTTTATCAAACAAACTCAAACTAAACCAAACGTATTCCAATCCGAGTGTCATAAACCGCTCGAAGCGTCTCCGCACTGTGTCCAAAGTTCCCTGAACATTCCCACGTCAGCCAGCAAACAGAACCAAACCGATTCAGAGTGCTCCGATCTCCATAGCACTGAGCACAGAATATTCCCAGCACAGAGTCCAACCACTCCCGGTCATCAGCGCGATCAACCATCAAACGGTTCACTGGTTAGCCGGATCGTTCAGCCCGTGCACGGGCCGCGCGTCACGTTCACTGGCAGCGACACGTGGTGATCT